CCTTGAGTTTAGAGTTCAAGTGTTTGGAGTTTTCCATTTGAAATTGGTGGTTGACCGCTATGTTAGTCTAATTAGGTCTGATCCTGAGAGGTGTTCCAGACGTGGTCAGGACCCTTATAATCCCACCGGTGAGGATTTATCGGGGTGGCCGTTGGACGTTCTTCTTTGCCACCACCCTTTTTTTTTACGGGCAAAAAAAATAAGTGATATTAAAAAAGGTCCAAATTGTCACTGTTGGGATTATAATCCAACTTATTAATGTACCATAATATTAAATCAAAAATTTGATTGAACGAAGGGTATTAATGTCAAAATCCACATATTACTTTTTTTTTTGTTGAGATAAATATATATCATATTTTTTTTTTAAATATACCCTAAAGAACCAATTAGATGAGTGAAACTTTGCCAAAAAGGGCCATTAAGTGCACACTATCATTACTAATACCAATGTATTAAATCTGTAGACTAAATGCCCTCAATCATTCTAAGCGAAGTGATCTTTTACAGGTTTGTCCATATGAAGGAGATGTCGGGTTATTGTAAAAAAGTTAGGGTTTATTTGTTATGAAGTCAAGATGTCTATTTAATTTTTTTTAATTAAAATAAATAAAAGGAATGATCACATGAATTTTTCTTAGATCAAGGATAAAATTATAAAAATAATGATATAATACACCTATGTTGTATTATATACCACATCTCCTAGTGGTATTAAAATTAGTTCAATAATACGAATAGATTGTATTAAAATTATCTATAGGAGATACTTATCTAATTAATCTCATATATAATACGAAATAATTTTTTACATCTAAATTTAGTATAAACCCGTATTAAAATATTTTTATTCAATATAATTCTTTAATACCCCATGTAACACAATAACCAAACCACCCTTATGTGTGTATTCTTCCAGCAAAGTTTATTACTTTTATGGGTCACAAATGAGCCCGGTCCAACCCAAATTTCAGCACCCAAAGTTTTTTGAATTTTGGATTAATGGAGGCCCAAAGTAACCAACAGGCACGGCCTGGCTGATTGGAATGCAGTGCACCCGTAAATGATGAAAAACGACGTCGTAGGTATCGGTCCCTTACCCTCCCCTCACAGGCTCACCTTGCCGCGCAGTCCCAATAACATTTCAAATCTCTCACTCACTCTCTCTTTCTCTCTCTTGTGGATTGACAAGACAATAACAGCGTCATTCTTGAAAATCCAAATAATAATCACTCTGTGTGGAGTACTGACAATGGGTTCCCGAGCTGGTACAGAGAAAAGCCCTAATAGTTTCAACTTCATTCGAATACACACACACACACACACTTCTATTCACTTATTTTGATTTTTTGTTTGTATTTCAGGCAAAAATAATGAGGATCTCTGGTCAGAAATCATAGCCGCAGAAGTAGAAGATCATTATCGACCACAACAACAAGAAGCAGAACCACAAATAGCGGTAATTTATCAGCGGAAGAAAGCTGTAAACATTCACAAAGATGTAGCAAAGTAAAGTCCCAAATTTCAAAAATTCGAAATTACTATTGAAATTTCAGTTTATTTACCCATTTTTCTAGTTTCTTTTTAAAATTTCCAGGAGGCTGTCGAATTCTAGTTCTAGTAACGAGAATCGCCCGAGTTTGGCTCCCACTAAGCGAGTCAGTTGGAATCGTTCCCTTTCCACCAGGTACTTGATCTAATTTCAGTTGATTCCAGTATTTACTGCCGTTACGTTTGAAATTTTGTGTGTTTTTGGATTTATTTTGATTAGTTAGAACTTGCGCTTCATTGCTTTTACCAGATGAAGCCGAAATATAAAAGCTCGTTAATTTGACAGAGTGAAAAACGTATTTTAGTGGTTTTCTATAATTGTATGATTCTATTGATTAATATGAATATCAATTAAGAAGTATGGATACGGACAAACATGACGTTTCTACATAAAATCAGGCACGGACATATTGGGATACACTACAGATAATGGTGTGTTTAAGTTTGAGATTTTGTGAGTTTTTTGGATTTATTTTGATTAGTTAGAACTTGCGCTTCATTGCTTTTACCAGATGAAGCCAAAAAATAAAAAGCACGTTAATTTGACCGAGCGAAAAATGTAAACTTTTTAGTGGTTTTCTATAATTGTATGATTCTATTGATTAATGTGAAAATCAATTAAGAAGTACAAATACGGACAGACATGACATTTCTACAAAAAATCGGGCACGGACATGTTGGGATATGCTACAGATAATTGTGTGTTATATAAAATTATTTAATTTATCACAAATATAGTGATAACAATATTTTAGTCATAAAAAATTTAGTACTTTATTAAAAGTAAATATTATGTGTAATTAGCTATTGTGAATTTTTAAACTAAAGCGTTATAATAGTCAAATAATCACAATTTTTTTTTGTAGACAATGTGTACCAATATATATAGGTTAAATGATTGTTTTTATCTTCTCAATTCTTCTTGTTTAAAGTTTTTATGCATCTTTTGCTTTTATTATTATAGTTTGAAGAAAATTGTAACATGTCTGGTCTTGGTAATTATATGTTCTCGTATAGTATAAGATATTTATTAGTCAAAATTTAAAATTTAATTAATCGCTTGTCAACATAGGTTTATTGTTTAGTAGTAGACACAGTTTAAAGAAGTGTCGGACATGTCACCAAAGAAAGCATTGAACTCGTTACCAAAGAAGTGTCAGAAATTAAAATTTTATCATTTAATTATTTGCATAGAGAAAAAAGTATCGAATACATATTCGAAGAGTGTTTGTGTCCGATACGGATGCGTCACTTTTTTTAGAGTGTCTGTGCTTCATAGAATATCAATGATTTTTTATCACATATAAGGTAAAGATAAAATTTTTGGTGTAAATTTCTGGGGTACTAAACAGTATGTTGATTGAAGAAGCAAATATTTTCCAAAAGAGAAAGAAAATTTGCCATACATATATATATTTGCATACAAAATATGTATGCCGACACTATATGTATGCATGTGTGAACAAGACTTACAAGAACATCATAAAATTAACTAAACACAGATACGGATATAATACGATAAGGATACAACGATATGAAAAAATTATTGAAAGTAGGAGACGAATATGGTTAGGATACTACTATATTATTGCACATTTTTTCTTTATAATACTAGGAATCCATGGGGCTAGATGATAAAACATATCCAAAACTTATGTAATATATGTTGCTGATTTAGGGACCATCCAATGGTGTGTTCAATCCAATATTGTGTGCAATTCTAAAGTTGAACATTCTGGAGTTCTCAACTTTTAACTAGCATCTAATTGCAATAGAGTCCATTGGTTTGGACATAAGCCATCTCAAAGAAGTTGTAAATCATCTCAAAATTTCAGCCAAACATTGTTCTCTTTTAAGCATGTGCACCCATTTATCTTCTTAATCATGTACCCATCTTTGAGATGCCCGTATTCAGGAAGTATCCAACAATTATCCCACGCGAAAACTGTTTTATTAATTATTTGATATTGCTGAAAGTATTCAATACATATACTCGATTCTCGAGTATCCGAAAAGTATTGATATCCGATATGTATTGGATACAAATACGTTATCGCAGTAGAAGTATCTGTGCTACATAGACTAAAACAGAACATTTGCAAAATTGATCATAAAAGTTAACTAATCAACTTTATAATACCAGTTCTTCAATTTGCACTGGACTCCAAGCACCAAACACTGATCTGGGCGGCTCCCAGTTCATGATTAATTGTTTACTTTCAAACATTAATTTGCATATTTTGGCAGCCAACAATTTTACACTTAAATACTTGAGCACAAACTTATTCCGAATTATTCGCAACACCTATGCCATCTCTCTTTTCTTCTTCTCAAATGTTCTTTGGTTTCTTCCAACAAAATAAAATATGAAATGGCTGCTAAAGCAATATTTCCCATCCAGAAAATAGAAAAATACATCTTTCAATTTATGGGCGGCCCAATTGAAAAGTTCATCCCAAGTGAAAGAAGGCACTTGCAAAGCAGATTTACATCATTTATATCCAAATAAGTTGTTTGAAGTATAATCATTAAAAAAATGCTAATAGTTTTGGGTCGATAGTTGTGTAGAGTGCAAGTTCGAATTTACCATATCCAGTCTAACTGTCCATTGTGGTTATCCCATTCTTGCAAACAAGCCTAAGGATGAAGAAAATTTTCGATAGATACCCCTTATACCTGACAAACCCATGCCTTGAAACCACTTCGAGGCCCTCTAAGAGCATTCAATTCTGATTTTGAAGAGTATTGAATATCCGGTTAATGTCTGAACTATGTGATCTTCCATAGTTCTCGGTACTAATGAGATCATTTTACAAACATTTGCTCTATGATAGAATCAAAACCTTGACAACCACCAACCCCGTGGTTTTGTAGCTGTTCATTGTGTATTTTTGCATTATTTCTATGACTTTAATGAATTTATCTCTCCCCCACCCTCCCTTTGTGTATGTTGCGTATAGTTTGCTTTTAGAGTCACTGGTTTCTGCTTTCAATCTTCTTGTTTCATCATAATAATAACAGACCACAGACTGATAGCTTGAGAATATTACCTTGTAATAATTGGCAGAGGGAGGGCAAGTATCGCCGTTACAATATATGCAGATTATCAGCCTCAGCAAAGGAAGGCGAAAAGAAAAACAAAACCACCTCTTCCCAGAGTATAACTTTGCTTCAGTTTTTTATATGATTTTCCTTGCTATATTACATTTTTCAATTGATGTTTTTGGAGGTACTGGTGGTCAATTGTGTGTCTTGGAAAATACGTACACTTTCAATAATTTTCCATATAGTTTGTGTACCACAATTAAGGAAAAAATGGGCAAGAAGTAGTGACAACTTGTTCGAACTGGTGACCCAGGCATTTTTAGTGCTCTGAGATGTGGTGATTCTTCTAATTTGTAAATGGCATGGAATCTCAACATCCTTTCTAACGCACTCCTGCCATCTGATATATGGTGTTTGTAGGGAAAAACTATACAACCTCCAAATTATGATAAGGAACGGGCCTACTTTCATGAGGTTGATTCCTTCAAATTGATGGAGGAAAGCCCCTCACCCAAGAAGTCTGGTACATGGACCATGGGCATCCATAGTGATATTGTTGTTATACCATATATGTCCTCAATATTACGGAGATGGTTAATATCTAAGAAGCTAAATCATAGCGGAATACCTTCTGCTTCACTATCGAAGATATTAGAAACTCCAGCAATGACCAAGGAATCATGTTGTGGTGATGGTTTTGCATCTTCAAATTTGGAAACCCCAGAAGAAATGTCCCTGCAAATTCATTCAGGCTTACAGGCCATCCAGAACGGATTTAATTCAAGTTACATCAGTAAAAATGTTCCTGAAAGGCATGTCTCATCACGGAAGAGCAATGATGAATTCCTGACTATGAATGAAGAGGGTTGTGAAGATATTGAAGTTGCAGTTCGTGGACTCTCTCTGACTTCAAGGCCTGCTTCACTGGCTGGTCAGAACTGGGATTCCTTGTTGGCCCTATTAACTGTTTGTCGACAGTCATCTCCTTCAACACTCTTGGATGTACTCTCCAAGTATTGGTTTGTGTTCTGTTCTTTCCAACCAGTGGCATTCTTTTTGAAATAAAATAGATTCCCAATCCTTCCATAAAATCGTACACATTTTCTCTTCCATACTGCTGTGCGATATGATTTTTCTGTCATGGTAATTTTGTGATATGGTTCCTTGTAGATATTGCAATTTAATTTGGAGTAGAATTATATGGTAGCTTGTTTCCTAATGTTCTCATTCTAAGATTCCCTTTGAATGTAAATAGCGCCAAGTGTAATTATCACGAGGGAATATTTTGTTTGACTGTGAAGTAATACTAAACTCTTCATACCAATGTTATCTATGGAAACTCAGAAAAATAGAATTTTTTTAGTAATTTTGTTTCTTGGTTTACCAACTTTGCTTTCAGAGAATTGTTTGACTGGTTTAGCTTAACTGAATTTATCCCTTTGAAGCATTCCTGAATTCAGAAAAATTCACTTATTTATTTGATTAGAAATACGTAAAAGAAAATAAAATCCGTGAGTCGGTGGTTTGTATTTTTTTGTTTTCCGACATGCAAAGAGAAGATAGATGTCAACTACTTTTATAGAAACAACAAATAAAAGCGAGAAGCATTACCATTTTTACTGCTCACAGGAAATCATGAATTCTGCCATAGCTGCAATACTTATTTTCTGGTTACTGTTTGAATTTTCTTTAACTTGTCATTGCACTGTTACCACATAATTACATCTGGCTGCATTTCTCATATCATTTTTACTTGGCACAAGTTCTTTTATGCATGTGGACCTTTGCTTCTTAATTTAGTGATAACATGAAGTTTCCTTATAACAGTGGCCATGAAAGTATCAGCAAGGTTGGTGAAGGTACATATGGAGAAGCTTTTAAGGTCAGGGAAGCTGTTTGCAAAATTGTTCCATTTGGTGGAGATTTAAGAGTGAACGGGGAAGTACCAAAGGTACTTGTTTTCATTGTTGTCTCTAGGCAAGTGATACAATTTGTAACTAAAGGAAGGAATAAGGCAGAATGCTCTTGGTCAATTGTTCAGTTCAGATAGCCTAAGGTTTAGCCAACTGAGAGGCTGGCATCCATTAGAGTTTTGACAGCCTGCAAAAGGGTTAACTTTTTTTTATTCTAGAAGTTTTCCTTGTAAATTGTCCAATATTTAATCTATGTTCTTTTAATATTCTCCAGCGGTCAGATGAATTGTTTGATGAGGTTGTACTTTCCTGGACTCTTAATCGTTTAAGAGGAGATGAGGGTCATGCTCACAACATCTGTTTCACTTTTATAGAGACAGTCGAGTAAGTTTAATGCATATCTCTTTCCTATTATAATTGGCAAGTAAATTTGGACAGTTTGGGAATTATAGAACCAGCCACCCTGCTGCAGATTTGTATTTGTTGGCCAGAAAGGCAGGAAAAGACGTGTTCAGTAGGATTGAGGGTAAAACCAAGCATGGACCAATATGTTGTGTTGTGATTCCCATTCAGCTGACCGAGTTTCCGTGTTTCACAAACATATCTTTTAACAAATTATTAGGTTCGTGGCTAATACTTTGATTGATATCACGAGAGGATCTACCTAATCATCTGCAAATCATATCTCTAGAATTTCATCATTTTCTCCTTGACTAATAGCTCTGATAATTGTTCCATTATTCGTGCAATGTTATCAATTATGTATGCCAACAAGGCCGGTTAAGGCAATACAATGAGTTGATTGGGCGTATTCAGTAAGAGGTGCTGCATGTAGTGGGCAAATGAGATGAGACAAAAGGTACCATCATGTAGCTAGATGCTTATAGTTTACTTTACCTACTTAGATTACAGTAGGGGTGTATAAATTAGCAGCATAAAGAGCCAAGAATGTGAAGCCTGACTAATTTCTTAAATTAGATTGATCAGCAATAATGAAGGTGAAACTGAAGAGGACACTTTTTAAAGTTTAGTACAGGTGGGGAATAGTAAATGGTTAAAAATTTATATGTTATTGAAGTTAATTTGTGGGCAGAATTTTAAGAATTAACGAGGCTTTGGTATGGATGTTGTGAGAACTAGAGCAAAACAGAGGAAAATGAAGGTGACGAAGGTTTAGTTCCAATGATGTGGAGACATAGTTTATGGGTAAAAACTTGATATTGGTCCTGGTGCTGCAGAGGTGGGTGTTGCTGATCGAACTATAATCCACGGTTTGAGCCAGAAGAATTTGATAATATTTAAGTTCTTAAAGATTGTACATTTATATCAAATAAGGTTTAAGTATAAACTAAGACTTATTTTAAAAAATTTCAAATACTCATTATTGCGATTGGAGGGAGCATGGCATACGCTATAGTGTCAGATTCTGTGATAATGAAAGCCTTAAAGCACGAGATAACTATTTAAGAAGTTGTGAGAGGATTCACTTAGAGGGCCAGGTGGCATGTGGTTTGGTTTGCCTTCTAAGATGGACCCTGCCAGTACAATAATTTATTTGATTCGAGAAAAGTTCAGTTTTTTGGGCTTATTCATGTATCACCATCAGTTTGGGCTTATTCACATGCTACAATACAATCAAGTGTTTGAAAAGTGTGTGGTGAGCTTTCTAGTGGAAAGGCAGATGTGAAACTGACTTACAACTTGCTTTGCTCTGGAGGGAGTTTCCTGAGTCAAACCAACTTGGTCACCGTATCGTCTGAATGGAATGTATAGAAAAGTGGTTGTTCACTCACTAAAAGAACTCAAACTTGAATAGAGGGCCAAGCCCTTTAAAGCAGGCTAGATGGGTCAAATAGGTGTTTTCTGGGGTACCATATTAGTCCTTGCATTTCAATTCAAATAAATAGTTGTAGACCAATACTAAAGATAAGAAATAGATAATCAACAATAAAAGAAACGAAAAAAGTTTCATAGGGAAAAATGCTGGAGAAAAATGATATAAAATATTACCAATTTTGACCGCATATGGGGATTACTGCATATTACCATGTGTTGAGGAAAAATAAGAGTGTATGAAGTTCGAGTTGGCTCTTTGGCCTTGTGTTTTGATCAAAGCTATCAAGTTTGAGAGTCTATGGACACTGCATACAAAAGCTCTCTCTCACCAATGTCGTCTTGTGATCTATGCTAGAAATTAGATTTGGTTGGTTTCATCTGGTTCACCCTTAAAAGCTACCCAGGAAAACTTTGCACCTTATTTGCTAGTTGAGTAGACATTATTTCATGAGATCAGTTTATTAACTCAATGTTTGTTACCAACACCCTAGATGATGGTAATAAAAGAGTTTAAAAGCTGTTAAATACATATTTTATTAATTGAGGAAGTGTTGAGCATAATGTTAATTCAATTTGGAGGTTGTCTTATCACGAAGGTGAAGCAAGTCGAATCCAAACTTCTACTTCTGGTCAGGCTGGTCTGTCAATATCACAAATAGACGACTATAGTTGCAAGAGTCTCAAATTTTACCTGTTGAGCTTCTGTTAAGTTTTCATTTAAGGTGATACCTCAGTGGTGTTTTCCTTCAGCCTCAATTTAGGCACTTTGAAAGTCCAAATCAATCTATATGTTGTTGACTTGTAATAGTTTGTTTCTTCATTTCACAGCATAAAGGTATGCCAAGGCCCTTATGATGCTGCCTTGACAAGAGCGTGGGAAGAATGGGATGGGAAGCATGGTTCAGAAAATGATCATCCCAATCAGTTCCCAGAGAAGCAGGTTAGTTATAATGACAACCTTTTAGATAGTTACTTCTCCCCATCAAACAAACGAAAGGTATTCTTCAATTGACATCATTTAAAACTACTTAATATTCATTAACCATTGGAAACTTCAAGTACCTGTTCCTAAGTGCTAATTGTATGCTTATATGATTTGTTTTCCGTATTGAACTGACGAAATTGCATTCAGTGCTATGTTGTGTTTGTGCAAGAACATGGTGGTCAGGATCTTGAAAGTTTCGTGCTATTGAACTTCGATGAAGCACGGAGTTTGTTGGTTCAGGCAAGTAAGCATCCTTTTCCAGTTTCAGCTGTTTGTACATCCCATTTTCTGTAATGTGACTTTTCATCCTTCATTCATTTCAGGTCACTCTTGCTTTGGCGGTAGCAGAGGCTGCATATGAATTTGAGCACCGAGATTTGCACTGGTCTAGTCATAATGCAATCCATAATTGTATTATGTATCCTTTTGCTTGTTAATTCAGGATTATGTATTGCTGGTTACAGGGGCAACATCCTGTTAAGTCGGAAAGCTTCTGCAACATTGCAATTCACTCTTGAGGGAAGGCAAATTTTCGTTAGGACATTTGGATTGCTGATATCAATAATTGATTTCACTCTTTCAAGGATCAATACTGGTTAAAATTGCTCACTTTTAACTTTCTTAGGGTCCAACTTCTTACTGGTTTAACATGTTGACTATAATGCCTTGTCCACAGGTGAAGATATTCTATTTTTGGACCTATCTCTTGACCCAGAACTGTTTGAGGGTCCAAAAGGAGATAAACAAGTAAGACAAAATAGAAGTTGTAGATATACTAGTGCTTTTGTTTCAGTTTTTCATTTAAGTGACCTCTAATATTCCATGCAGTCAGATACCTATCGGAAAATGAAAGAGGTGACTGAAGAATGCTGGGAGGGAAGGTACGATATATCCATCTATTAATCATCGAATCTATTAGGATAAAACCATGGTGGCATAATGGCATCGGAAATTTCTGGTTTACTTTAGAGAGTAGATATTGATGATGTAATAAAAAAATGTTTTTTTGGAGTGAAGTATAATTGGATCTTCCGGTCACGATTATACGCATGGAACTACACTCGTACGACCTGGGGTGAGTGGTGAATAAGTTTATGACACTTAGGGGTGCAACTCGGGTGGGTTGGAAAGCCAACCCTAGGTATATAGTTTTTAACCCTAATCTTACCTCGGGTTGAGGGACTCAACCTGAGCACTGGCCGAGTTTAATTTGGGCGGGCTCGGGTTAAGTTCGAGTTAATGATTTTGGGCTACTTTACGGGTTGAATTCGGGTTGAGCCCAAAATAGACTTATTGTTATAAACTTGATACATATATTGCATAATATTCACCTAAATTAACAACCAATAACTTCAATCAAGTTTTTAACATAAAAACCATAATATTAAGAACTCAATATTTGATATAATGCAACCACCAAAGTTGTTAGTATCGTACGATACACGATACGTATCGTACGATACGTTACGATACAGCCCTAAAACGATACGGATCGTAGTTATGTATCGTTTTTGCGTTGTATCGTCCGATACACGATACGTTTTTACGATACGATACGTATCGGTACGAAACGCACGATACGTGCAATTTTTTTTTTTTTTTTTTTTTTTTAAAACGACGTCGTTTGAAGTGTGTTGAATTTTTTTTTTCAATTCCCTATAACCACTGAAACGACGTCGTTTCAGTGGTTAGGGTTACAAAAAAAAAATTCACACATTTCTCACATATATCACACATTTCAGCCATCGACGTCTGGTTTCTCTCAGCCATCGACCGATGACTGTCGTTTCTCTTCAGCCATCGACCGACGTGTGTGGGTGGGTGATGATCGACTGTGGGAAGTCTTCGACTTGTAGGTGGTGATCGCTGTGGGTGGTCTTCGACTGGTCTCCGACTGGTCTTCGACTGTGTTCGACTGGTCTCCGACTGGGTGGGTGGTCTTCGACTGTGGGTGGTCTTCGACTGGTCTCCGACTGGGTGGGTGGTCTTCGACTGTGGGTGGTCTTCGACTGTGTTCGACTGGTCTCCGACTGGGTGGGTGGTCTTCGACTGTGGGTGGTCTTCGACTGTGTTCGACTGGTCTCCGACTGGGTGGGTGGTCTTCGACTGTGGGTGGTCTTCGAGTCTGGGTGGTGATCGATTGTGGGTGGTCTCCAACTGTGGGTGATTGCCGGTCTGTGGGTGATTGCTTGTGGGTGATTGCTGTGGGTGATTGCTCGCTGTGGGTGATTGCTTGTCTCCGACTGTGGGTGTTGATCGCTGCCTTCTTCCTTCTCCAGGTATTCCTTTTTCTTCTTCTTCCCAGTCTCCATTGATCGTTGGTCCTGTGCAGTATGTAATGATATTAATTTATTTACAAAGCCAAATGTATATAAATTTTTTTGTATAAAAATTTCTGAATCTTGATTAATTTTAATTTTGTGCAACAGTGGCATCACCTGCATCCAATTTTCATATAGAAATGACTAAAAAACTTGCTAATGATCCCACATGGGAACATTGTGACAAAGTAGAAGGATTAAGGTTGAAATTGAAATGCATTCATTGTGCAAATGTCTATTGGGGAGGCATTTCAAGAATGAAAAATCATTTGGCAAGTAATCGCAAAGATGTAGCAGCGTGTAAGCATTGCCCTGAGGAAGTAACTGAATTTTTTAAGCAATTATTGGATGATAGGGCAATTAGCAAAGATATGAGTCTTGTGGATTCGAAAAGTAGTGGCAGTGTGGGTAGTACTACTGCTGATAAAATACAGCCAACCACCACAATTACTTTGAATACTATGTTGAAGAAAAAGGGTAGGGAAGATGTATGCTTGGATATTTGTAGATGTTTTTATGCTAATGCCCTTCCTTTTAATTTGGTAAAGGATCCATATTTTGTAAGAATGTTAGAATCTGTTGCATCGTTTGGTAAGGGATTGAAACCTCCATCGTATCATGAGGTGAGATGTTCTTTTTTGAAAAAAGAAACAAATTTGATTAATGGTGGGTTGATGGAAAATTATAAAGCAGAGTGGAGAAGGACGGGTTGTACTCTTATGTCTGATGGATGGACTGATGGGAAACATCGCTCTATCACTAATTTTTTAGTGAATAGTCCTAGAGGAAGTGTGTTTCTTAAAAGTATTGATACTTCAGGTATTTGTAAGAATGCGGATAATCTTTTTGAGCTTTTAGATTCAATGGTAGAAGAGATTGGTGAGGATAATGTTGTTCAGGTTGTAACTGATAGTGCATCGGCTTATGTAAAAGCTGGGGAGTTGTTAATGGAAAAGAGGAAAAAGTTGTTTTGGTCTCCTTGCGGTGCACATTGTCTAGATCTCATTTTGACGGATATTGGGGACCTTCCTCTGCACAAGGATATAATGTCAAAGGCAAGGAAAATCACAGTTTACATTTATAGACATTCTTGGGTGTTAAATCTTATGAGAAAGTATACAAAGAAAAGGGATTTGGTGAGAGCTTGTGTGACCAGATTTGCCACCTCATATTTAACTTTAAGGAGTTTATTTGAAAATAAAATTGGGCTTAGAGCAATGTTTGCTTCTGAGGAATGGCAGAGAAGTCAATATTGTAAGAAGGGAGATGGTGTAAAAGTGATGGATATTATACTAGCTGACCAAAATTTTTGGGGATCAATCAAGTATTGCTTGAAGTGTGTGTTGCCATTGGTGAAGGTGTTGAGGCTTGTAGATGGGGATCTAAAGCCTGCCATGGGGTATATTTATGAGGCAATGGACAAGGCAAAGGAACAAATCCAAAAGAATTTTCGTAATGTGAAGAAGCACTATGAGCCCATATGGACTATTGTTGACACTAGATGGAACATGCAATTACACAGACCTCTTCATGCAGCTGCCTATTATCTCAATCCCGCGTAAGACTTAATTTTCTCAATTTTTATATCATTTTATATCTATATATTGTATGCTAATCAATGATCATTGTAAATCAAAATAATTATTTCAGGTTTCATTACACCGGTAGTGCGGACTATGAGATAAAGATGGGACTATATCAGACTATTCAGAGAATGTGCCCAAGTCCTATTATGAGAGAAAAAGTTGATAAACAATTAGATATCTTTCATAATGCTGATTTGATGTTTGGAATGGACATGGCAATCCAAATGAGGAAGAAGAAACAACCTGGTTAGTGGTAACTTAACTTAAGTTGGTTATTTGAATGCAACTGCTTAAGTTAGTTAATAGAGTATTCTATTGTAATTTTTTATAGCCTTGTGGTGGGAATCATTTGGAGGATGTTGTCCAGAGTTGCAACAACTTGCTATCCGCGTCCTTAGCTTGACTTGTAGTGCCACTGGATGTGAGAGGAATTGGAGTACATTTGACCAGGTGCACTCTAAGAGGAGAAATCGATTAGAGCAACAAAGATTAAGTGCACTTGTGTTTGTGAAGTACAATCTTCGATTGGAGGCAAGACACCAAAAGAGAATACTAGAGGGTGATTCCTATGATCCTATTTCTCTCTCAGATATGGAATCTGATGATGAGTGGATCACTGAAAAAGAAGATGCACTCCTTCCTGAGGACACTACTTGGATGAATGTTGGTGAATGTTTTGAGGTTCAAGAAGGGACTAGCAAAAAGAGAAAGAGAGGTAATTAAAATGTAGTGGTTGTTTTTTCTTCTTCTCCATTACTTTGAATTTTATTTTTTTTATATTTTGTATTGGTTGCTTTGTAGGGCCTAGAAATCTTACTTTAAGCAAGAAAAAAGGAAAGCAAATAGTTCAACTTGAAGATGAGGATGAGGATGAGGATGAGGATGAACAAATACAAGAAGTTGAAGATGATAAAGGAAGTGAAGACTTGTTGGCATCCGATCACAATGATGATGATGATGATGCATTTTCAATTGAAATTGAAGATTGAGTTCAAAATGGATGTTAGAAATTTGGATTAGAAGTCTCTTTGGTGTTTAAAGTTTGAATTAGTGAACTATGGTTGTGAACTTTGCATTATAATAGTAGTGGATTATGTTGATAACTTGAATAGTTGGTGGAGTATTAATGAAATGCTATATTTTTTATGGTGTATGACTTTTTTTCAAAGGTATATATATTTTTTTATTATTTATTTAAAATTGCATCGTATCTTACGATACACGATACGATACACGATACGATACAATATTTGTATCTTACGATACGCCTTCCGATACACGATTTGATAACTATGGCAACCACAACTATAAAGAACACAAATAAATACAACCAAAATTCTTGTACAAACCGAGTTTACTACTTAAATAGTGAGGGAGACGCACAATGAAAACTTCAGAACAGATTAACCCTTGACTTAAAAATGTATTTATATGGTTATGAATATTTGGGTTGAACCCGAATATTAAATCGGGTTAAACCTGATTTTAATATTCGGGTTCAATTCGATAACTCGAGGGGTCAACCCGAGACCCGCTCAAATTGAATTCGGTTGGGGTTTTTTGATCCTAGCCCAAACCCTAATTTTTTTGGGTTGGGCTTGGGTTGAAATTGGGTTAGCCCGCCCAAGTTACACCCCTAATGACAGTTCCCAATTGAACAAACACTAATTTGAAAACCAACTAACCACAAGTCCACAATTACTAAATTAATTATTCAATTAAGCTTATTGAACCCTTTCCAGTTAGAACAAATCTGTTAAGCATGAAGGGATGCAAGATGTGTCAACTAATAGTCTCAACAACAATCCAATCGTCCAACCTTATTCCTCCAAACAAGCCAACAACCATGACAACCAAGTTGATGAAGAGATTGAATATGACAATCAATGAGTCAATTCATCAAACACATCGTGAATGTGTGTTATTGCATGTGTGTGTGTGTGTGCTTGCTAATATAAATCAACAATTCACAGA